AGGCCTAGAGTCAACATAGCTGGCTTCAAATCTAGCTCACCATTTACTAGCTGTGTGCCTTGGGCAAGGTTCTTATATTTTCTGTGCCTCAGTCTCCTTGTCTGAAAAATGGGGATATCACTCCATAACTCATGAAATGTCTGCAAGGATAAAAAGGGGTAACATGTGTAGAGAAGGTAGAACAGATAACAAAGGTTCAGCAGAGGTAAGTTAACATCAATTAATCCAGTGATATCTTTTTTTTTAGATTTTTTTTTAATTTATGTGAAAGAAAGAGAGTGAGTGAGAGAGAGCACAAGTGGGGGAAGGGTCAGAGGAGAGGGAGAAACAGACTTCCCCGCTGAGCAGGGACCCCGATGTGGGGCTTGATCCCAGGACTGCAGGATCATGACCTGAGCCAAAGGCAGATGCCCAACTGCCTGAGCCACCCAGGCGCCCCTCCAGTGAGATCTTGAATACTTACTAACATAATCAGTTAAAATCCAGATGGATAGATAGATAGATAGATAAGATACGTTCGTGTGTTCCTGTGATATCTATCTATATCTATCTACCTACCTATCTACCTATCTACCTATCTATCATCTATCAATAGATAGATATAGATATATATCCTAAGCAGAGTCCTAACGTAGAAACTAGATCAGTGCTCTTGGTTGGAACTCCCAACCATCACCCTCCAACCCTCCAAAGTTCCTGAAGACCTCCAAAGAACACAGGTTAAAAACTGATCCAAATCCATCCATGTGCTGAGAATGGAATCCCTTCTACAGTGGCCCTGGTAGGGGGTCATGGGGTCTGTCTAAGCATTTTGCTGATGGGTCCCTGTGGTTTTCCAGTGGCCCAGTAGGGGCCTGGTCATCCTATCACTGGGAGCCATAGGTTAGAATCTTGCATCTGGGTGGCTTGATCGATCTCTCCTCCAGAGCCACAGAGAATAAGGCTTCCCCTAACCCTTCTACCTGAATCCACCTGGAGTTGCTTTGGGAAATAATCACACCCATGGGTGCCACATGTAAAATAAGGCAGTCCACCTGAGTTCCCAAAAGATCCACCTTGATCTTAGCAGGTACTTTCCTTACCAAAGGCCCCTCCGCAGATAAGCATCCAGGACAAGACCCAGGAGAAGAGGAAGGTAAGAAGGCCCAGGCAGACCACCCTGATTTTTCCTGAGGTCTCAAATTACATTCCCAGTGAAGAGCTAGAGCCTGGCCTTGTCCAAGGCTTGCTCTTTCTTCCTTGGCTGATGTCTGTGAACACTGAAATGCGGGCCAGGCCTCTAGCAGCTACCTGGACTCACTTGCTGTCAGTGGTTTTGGGCTTAATGACTTGGCTGCCTTCACTCCTCCACAGGGCAGTGCTGCAGCATTCAACCCTCCAACCAAACTGCTGCTCAGAAGTGATGGCTTGGTGCAAGGGCTTGCTGGAGAGGCACTTTGGAGGCCCTGGCCATGAGCACTGAGCCAGGGGCAGGTGTGAGGCAGAGGCCTAGAGTCAACATGGCTGGCTGATCTAACAAGACTCTACAGGGAAATGATCCGATGTCAGAGGTTGGGGCTCAGGCAGGCTGGAAGGACGTGATACATGAATTCCAGTCCCCCTCAAGGAAAAAAAAGGATGAGCTGTGTAAGCAGCCCTTGAGATTCATTGCACTTACCCTCTCCACTGTGAACTCTTCCTTAGTTCTGGTCTTATTTCCCTCCAGTGTCCCTACTATTTGGACTATTTTCTTACAGCTCTTATCACTGCCTGGTTTCACTGTTGGTTAAGTAAATACCTATCTTTCCCGTTAAACTGTGGAGGCAAGCATTGTGTTGTATCTATCCTAGAGGAAATCCCAAGAGCTCGAACACTTCTTTGTACATGGGTGGGCCCAGTGGATGTTTAAACTGAATTGGCAGCTATTCCAGTCACGTTTCCCACAGGGACCAAATAAAGTCTTCTCCAAACCCTGTGTAGACCACTTTATCTCCCCTAATTATACACTGATAGAGTGGCAAGGATGATATATCCTCAGAGGTATGTAGTACCTGGTCCAGAAAGGACCCCAGTGAAGGTCCATCCACTGAATGGCTTAGTGAATGGGATGACACATAGAGAAAAGTATGGAAGATCACAGGATACAAAATGTCCTGGGACTGCTATAATTTGGGTGAACTGAGAATCAGAGATAGAGCTTGTTGCAGCACAGGGGCATTTGCATCGACAGGCCTTTGGACTGAAATTGGGAGCTGTAAATGGCCCAGGTTACATGCTCATACACTGCTTGGTACATGGTCAGCGCTCAGTCAATGTCATCGGAATAGACGCGGTGGCCCAAGGAATCCAAGGGTGCAGGGCACCTAGAGGCAGAGAGCAGAGGTGGAAAAGACCACCCATTTCCAGACCTTCCTTTCTGCACAGAGGTGCATGAGCTAGTGGGGACATCTGAACTCACGTGGCATTTTACAACATCTGTTTGCCCTGCAGCTTCTTCTTAAGGCTTTCTTGGGATGTGGAACCAAGAAAGTTCTAAGACCTCAATTTAGTACAACAAGATGATGGAGGCTGACACTGGCTAAGCCAACAGATCTCACGGCCCCTCTGTAGATCTAGAAGGACCCCTTATGGGGCTTGTCTGGAAGAGACACCCTTACCGAACTGTTCCTGATTGGCATCTCATGAGCTGCTATCTTGCAGTTCTGATGAAATGCATTTCTTTTTGTTCCCATCAGATTTACAAAGTTTCCTGGTTGAAGGGGGGAAGGATGGAAACAAATATCCTGAGTCAAGAACTGTGCTCCGCCTTCTATCCTCATCTGTATGACAACCATGACACATGTCTTAGTGTGTCCACTCTAATGAAACGGGCTCAGAGAGTGAGAAGCTTGACCAAGGAGGTAGGTCCAGAATTCAGACCAAGAAGCCCACACTCTACCTCAGGAAGAGGACTCCTCTGTGCCTGGCTCTGTAGTCTGGGCTCTCCTCCCATAGGCTCTTTGGCCCAGAAATGTTGATGCCAGTGTTTAGGGTCTCTACCATGACCTTGTTAACCTCACAGAAGCCCAAACTGAGAAATGGGTTAGTTAGTGGGGCCTGTTGGAGAGCAGATAAGTGCATAAATCACCTCTTATTTAAGCAAGAGTAACCCCCCCCCCCCCAGCATGCCCTGGTTTCCCTACCTGCATGCTGTCCCCACCCCCACCCCCATTTGGTCACCTGTGCTCAGTGCTCCAGCAATTCCATCCTGCTCTAATCCAACAACCGCTGGGGCCCTTCTATGCCTCAGTGCCTTTGCTTGTGGGATGCCCTTCTCCTGTTTCTCTCTCAAAGCCTTCCCTGTTTGTCACTCCTCTAAGAAAGCTTCTGTCTTGATTGCACCATGGGATTTTACCTTATACGGGTGAACCAAGTGATGACATGGAAAGGTCAATGCCATTGAAAGAATTTATTACTTACCATTTCCCAGAGAAAGGGGCATACCATACCACCTGGGAATCACCGAGGTCAATCAGGAGGCAGAGGGATGCAGAGGGACAAGGGAAATGCCTGTCCCAGAGACTTTATTGTGTTTTCCATGGGAAGGAAGGGGTGAAGCAGGGGAAACAGCTTAGGATCAGCTAGTTTGAATAATGCTGGCATGCTCTGGGCTAAGCAGGTGGTATCCAGTTGCCTGGTGCCTGGCCCTGGGGTAGTGTAGGGCAGGGGGATACGGGCTCATTAGGTGATAGCTGGATAAAAGGTTGTTGGGGGGCATGGACTCAAGGTTGTTGGTTTGCATATGAAAGGTGTGTTCCAAGGTGAGGTGTTCACAGTCTCTAAGAATAAGCTAGCCCTGGAAGGACAAGCGGCTGGGTGCATCTCTCCCCAACCAGCAAGGCCCTCAAGACATCAAACCATCATAAAATTTATAAAATAAAACCACAATTAATACACTTTCCTCTTTGCCCTGGGGTTGCTTCCGTGGCTGAACTCAGCACATGGTTGGCAATTTTGTCTTTGTAGTTTGTTTGGATGTGTATATTCATTGCTTAGCTGTGAGCTCATCAGAAGCAAGGTCTGAATCTTGTTCATGTTTGTACCGTCAGCGTCTGGCAAATGCCTGTCATCAATCTATGTTTAAAGCAGTGATTCTTAGGCCTTGCTGCTCATTAGAATGCCATGAGAAGCACTTTTAAAATACTGATGTCGGGACACCCGGGTGGCTCAGTTGGTTGGGCATCAGAGTCTTAATCTCAGCTCAGGTCTTGATCTCAGGGTTGTGAGTTCAGGCTCCATACTGGGCTCCACATGGGGCATGGAGCCTACTCTAAACAAACAAACAAACAAAGTACTGATGTCTAGGCCTTACCCTGAGATTCTGACTTAATTCATCTGGGATGTCTGGATTTTCACTGACTTCTTGAATTTCCTGGGAGGAATTTTCCAGAAGGAAATCAAGGTTGTGGTCTCAGGTGGTCATTTAACACAGCAGGAAAACCAAGTCCTGAAAGCCAGGGACTTGTCCTGGGCCTGATCACCTGTTACAGGAGCACCAACTGCCCATTTTGGTAGAACGTTACCTACTGAAAGCAGTTTCCACAGTCTTGGCAGGTCCTGGGCTTGAACAAGGTTGTTCCCCTGCATTCTTCTCAGGCTCCAGGCCATACTCATTGGAGAAGGGGCTCTTGCTTCACCCCAAGTAAGTTTCCCAATCCCGCCTCTCTCCTCTCGGTGTCGATGTGAGTTTTGCTCTACACTGTTTGTCTCTTTCTGGGACTCTGGCCTTAGTGGTTTCTCTCTTTATTCTTCCACAGCCTTCTCTTTGTGCATCCCCCGTGCCTCTTCTCCCTGTCTCACAGTGTATCTTGAAAAGTAAGAAAAATGGTAGGTGAACCATCTCTGTGATTTCTGCTCTTTCCCTTAGACTCCTTGGAAGAGGGAATGCCCGAAAACCCTCCCATTCTTTTCCTATTCTCACCCACCCTGCATGTTAGCTCCTCCCTGGAACTTCCTGGAACTTTCCCCAACTGCCTCCCCAACGGCCAACTGCTGCCTCCTCTCCTGGCACTCCAGGAACCTCCCTTAAAACTCCCATACTCTCAACACTGGCACACCCTGATAGCCTTAAGGGCCCAAACTGTGGGGCACCCTGGGGGGAACTTTCTCCTCATCTTGTCCAGCCCAGAAACCTGCCAAGATTTCTCACCTCCTTGCAGCCACCGCCCAACAGTTCCCACACTGCTCTGAGTAAGTGATAGGGGCTCTTCTTCCTGGTTGGTGGGAGGCAGGGACTTTCCCTAAGGACCAGCCAGACAGAGAGACAGAGAGACAGAGAGAACGAGAAGTTTTCAGGGATGAGAACTATGGCCTGGAGAACTTAAGAGAATTCTTGTTTGGCGTGTATTTTTTATTTCTTTACCCTCATATGATTTGAGGCCATTACTCATCGCATTTCTACATGCTTGTGTCTGAGCATCAAACATTTCTTTAACTTCCCCAGAAAGGGCTCCTTGGCACATTTCTCACTACTGGAGTCCTGGACTGGGATTAGCATTACTGATTTCAGTTCAGATGGGCCTTACTTCTAACAAATTTAGGAAGTTTCTTTCCTTTGTGGGGTCTTGATTTCTCCCTCCAAGGAAGAAGAATTCTTATTTCCTCCTATGCATAGATATGTGGGCAGACCCAGAGATGAGATCTGCACATGAAAGGAGGTGAGAGGGGTCAATATGCAGCTCTCGTGGGGTCTACATTCAATGCTCACCTCCACGAGGACAGACAGAATATTCAACCTTTTGAGGATGACAGGGCAGCAGATGAACCTGGAAAATGCCACTATTTCATAGCTTATCTGGGCCTTTCCATTCTGTGGATGAAGTGAGTTGATAAATACAACATCTGGCTAAGGCAGTGATTAGGTCAATAATTGGTTGCTGAGACCAACAAGCTGGGGCTACCAGAGAGAAGACTTTGTGTCCTTGGAGTGAAGTGGCCCAAGCCCCCAGCTTCTGGCTGGAAGTCTAGCAGAACCCTTGGATAAAATGAGTGGTTGGCTCAGGGGCCAGGGCTGGGCTTATCTCAGAGACACTCTCCTAGTCTCCTCACTCTTGGGAAATGTAACTGCTAGAAAATTCAGCTCTGCAGCTCCCTCTACCACTGCCCCCATGCCACACCCCCTGTCAATACCACCAGTTCCTACATCTTCTGTTTGATAAGTTAAAGATCTACAATTCAAAACGTGATAGAAGGAAAGCAAGCATTTCCTAAAATAACAACAAAAGAAACTACATTCAGATACTTTTACATTCCAAGACAATTTCCAAATTGATCATCTGAAATGAAAAGTGCATAAAAGCAACATCTTTTAGTTGAGAACTAAAGGATGGCTCAAGTGCATTTTGGGAGACTTTGCCATCCTTTCCTACTCTTTACATATGAAGGACAACAAAAAGTCAGAATATTCTGTTTTACAACATATTGTTTTTGAATGTGGGTGCTTGTTTAGTTATTAAGTGTCTACTATATTCAAAGTACTGTGGGGGGTGCAGAAACAACTGGGGCCCTCACAGGATGAAATATGTGCCCAGAAAACTAGAACAGAAGAAATATATCAGTGAGAGCTATCAAGGGAGGAACAAACACTGCCCCTGGAACTCAAGGGAGACACAGGTTAAATTAGTGGAGGTGGAGGTGTGATCTTTAGGAATTCAATGTCCACTCCTCCTTCCTTTATTTCCTTCCTTCTTTAAATGGTAATTGAGCATCTGCTGTTTCTCAGGCACTGTGCTAGGTACCAGACACAGCAATTCACGGGACACATGTGGTTCTTCCCCCATAAAGGTAACAGTCTAGTGGTAGATAAGGATAAGTAAATGGCAAATAAAAATGGCCTGATACATACTATCATGGCAGGGACTATATGTGGATATGAGAGGATATCTAAGAAGGTTCACTGAAGGAACGTTCACTGATGTTTAAATAACATCTGAAGGATAAGCAAAAGTTAGCCATATGGGTCATGGGTCAGGAGAGAATAGCTCTCCTTGAAGACAGAAGAGCTTGTACAAAGGCCTTCGGGTGGAGAAAGCACAGCCAATTGGGAGTATTTGGAAAGTAGTCTACACAGGCTGATCAAGAATGATTGATGGAGAAAGCACAGCCAATTGGGAGTATTTGGAAAGTAGTCTTCACAGGCTGAGAAGAATGGATTAGGTCAGTGTTTCCAAAGTGGGCTCTATAGACCACTAGTTCCTTGGATGTGTATGGTGTGTGGGGGGGCTAAAATATACATAAAATTTACCATTTTAACTCTTTTTAAGAGTACAATCCAGTGGCACTAATTACCTTCACAATGTTGAACATTTATCACCCTATGTGTTTCCAAAACATTTACTACCCCAACATAAAATCTGTAACCATTAAATCATAAGTCCTCATTGTGAGAAAATAAGTTTCTGTTGCTTAAGCCACCCAATCTGTGACATTTTGCCATGGCAGCCCTGGCAAACTAATGGCAAACTAATTTGTCTTGTTCTTGATCTTTGGGAAAAATTTCTGAGTCTTTCACCATTGAGTATGATATCAGCTATGGGCATTCCACACGTGGCCTTTATCATATTGAGGATGTTTCCTTCTCTTCCTGGTTTGTTGAGTGGTTTTTTGTTTATTTTTTGTTTGTTTTTTTTTATCAAGAAAGTTGTTAGTGCCTGGGTCATGCAGTCAGCTAAGCATCTGGCTCTTGGTTTCAGCTCAGGTCATGAGATCAAGCCCAGGATCGGGCTCCATGCTCAGTGTGGAGTCTGGATTCTCTCTCCCTCTGCCCACCACCTGCTTGCTTTCTCTCTCTCTCAAAAATAAAATAAATCTTAAAAAAAAAAAATGAATGAATGAAACCGGGTGCCTGGGTGGCTCAGACATTTAAGGGTCTGCCTTTGGCTTGGGTCATGATCCCAGGGTCCTGGGACCGAGTCCCACTTTCCCATTTCAGGCTCCCTGCTCAGTGGGGAGTCTGCTTCTTTCTCTGCCTGCCCCCACTCATGCGAACTCTTTCTTGCAAAAATAAATAAATAAAATCTTAAAAAAAAGAAGAAAATTGTTGAATTTTGTCAAATTTTTTTTTTTTGCCTCAAGTGAGATAATCATGTGGAGTTTTTCCTTCATACTCTCAGTGTAGTGTATTATATTGGTTGATGTTCATATGTTGAACCATTCTTACATTTTAGGAATAAATCTTACTTGGTCATGTTGTGTAATACTGTTGATATGCTTCTGAATGCAGTTTGCTAGGATTTTTACATCAATATTCATAAAGAATATTGGTCTTTAGTTTTCCTTTCTTATAGGTCTTGTCTGGTTTTAGTATCAGGGTAATGCTAGCCTCACAAAATGCCTTAGGATCTGTTCCCTCGACTTTGATCTTTTGAAAGAATTGTAGTGACATGTTCTTATTCCTCTCTTACTTATTTTTGGGTATATTATGTAGGTATATTTTGTGGGTATTGTGAGCACCACATAAAACATCCTAAAATTATTACAATCTAATTTGAATTAATATCAACTTAATTTCAATCACATGTAAAAACTCTACTCCTATATAACTACACTCCCCTACTTTATGTAATTGAAGTCACAAATTATGTCTTTATATATTTGTACACTAACCAAGGTTTATGATTACTTTTAAATCCTATTTTTTTTAAAAAGTGGGGTTTCAAAGAAAAATTATAATAATACTGGCTTTTATGTTTGCCCATATATTTACCTCTACCTGAGATCTTTATACCTTCACCTAACGTCAAGTTACTGTCTACTGTCCTTTTATTTCAACCTGAAAGTCTCTTATTAGCATTTCTTAGAGGGAATCTCTAGTGGCAATGAACTCAATCAGTTTTTGTTTATCTGGGAATGTCTTAATATCTCCCTCAATTTTGAAGGACAGTTTTACTAGATATAGAATTCTTGGTTGACAGTCTTTTCTTTAAATAATTTAAATACAGCTGACGCTTGAACAACATAAGTTTGACCTGCATGGGCCCACTTATTTGTGGATTTTTTTCTTCCTTATGACTTTCTTAATAACATTTTCTTTTCTCTAGCTTACTTTACTGTAAGAATATAGTATGAAATATATATACCATACAAAATATGTGTTAACCAACTGTTTATGTTATCAGCAAGGGCTCCAGTCAGCAGTAGGTTATTAGTACTTAAGTTTTGGGGGAATCAAAAGTTACACATAGATTTTTGACTGCATGGGGGTCAGTGCACCTAACCTCCCTGTTGTTTGAAGGTCAACTGTATATCATCCCAATGCCTTCAGGCCTCCAAGGTTTCTTCTGGTAAATCAACTGTCAATCTTATGGAGGACACCTTGTCCATGTCAAATCCTTTTTCTCTTGTTGCTTTTAAGATTCATTTTTTGTCTTTCAACACTTTGATTATATGTCTTGGTATGAGTGTCTTTGAGTTTATTCTACTTGGTATTTCTTTAGCTTTTTGCATTTGCCTATTTATGTGCTTCATCAAATTTGGGAAGTTTTGGCCATTATTTTCTCAAATGATCTTTCTGCCCCCTTCTCTCTTTCCTCCTTCTGGAACTCTCATAATGCATATATTGGTCTATTTGAGGGTATCCCATGGGTCTCTTAAGCTCTGTTCACTTTTCTTTATGCTTTTTTCTTTTTGCCCCTGCTCCTAGACTCAATAATTTCAGTGTTCTGAAATTATTGATATCATCTATCTTCAAATTCATGGATTCCTTTTTGTCCTTGCTCAAATATGCTATTGATCCTTCTAGTAAATTTATCACTTCAATTATTTCATTTTCAGCTCTAGAATTTATTTTGTTCCTTTTCATAATTTTTATACTTTGTTGATATTCTGATTTTGTTCATATACTGTTTTCCTGATTATCTTTAGTTCTTTGTTCATGTTTTCCTTTAGCTCTTTGTGTATATTTAAGACAGTTATTTTAAAGTCTTTATTAAGTCTGATGTGTGAGCTTCCTTAGGAACAGTTTATATCGACTTATTTTATTCCTTTGAATGGCTGTGTTTTCTTGTTCTTTGTGATTTTTTGGTTGTTGTTAAAAATTGTGTATTTGAAAGAAACAACTACCTTTCCCAGTCTTTGCAGACTGGCTGTATGCCAAAGAAGACCTTTATTAATTAGCTGGGCATGCTCTGGTCCCAGGGATCAGCCCAAGATGAGAACTTAAGATCCCCTCTGGTCTTTACTGAGCATGTGAT